TATTCGCATTCATCTTTACAGTACAAATTCCTGTCACCGTGTTGCCAACGATAATGCAATAGATCTCATCCATGTTTACGGCGTTGTCTGCAAAATTCTTCATGTCACATGAAGACACGTTCTTGCATTACAGAAGAAAATAAAGACACTTTAGAGTACTGTTTTTCTGTAAGTTGTGAGCCCGTTAAATTATCACCTGCCCTATTTAATTTTCATCCGATACTTATGTGGTAGACGACGACAGATTTTCTCAATCTCGTTAGAGGGACAAGTAATTTTCATAGGAATGTTAGTAATCGTTTGAAAGCTCAAATCCTTAGGTACAACTCTGCATCGCCGATTTCCAGAACACCCCTTTTTAACGCTGTATGATCCAAAATAATATTATATTTTAGACTCGCTTTCGCTTTCACTTTTACCACGTGTATTAATCGCTGGGAGCACGAAAAGCAAATCAGCGTGTAGAGAGTTTTCCGTAATAAGGGATAAAACGTCTTTACTTAAAGCTTCTGCAATCGCGATGAAAAAATTCTAAATGAAAGAACAACAGTCGCCGCTTTTCTAACACTACCACTATCGAGCTACGCGGTAGATCAGGTGATTTACCTCACTAACGAATCGTCTCTGTAGCTTCCCTTCATTGAACTCATCAAATTATCACACCAACAACTCGTCGGTGTGGTTTTCCTTAACATTTTACTCAGCTATGATCTTTTTTACTTTGCCGAAGACTGAAGAAGAAACAACTCGACGGAATTTATGTGGCGCTAAATGATCGCAGACAGCAATTTTTTGGCTTTTATCCTCACATTAATAGGTTGGAGAGAAAGTTCTGAGAAAATGCTTATAATTTTTTGGGTGTTGGCCATTTTTTGTGTTTTTGGGCTCATCTGGAAGCCCGTCTTCTCCCGCGTTGATTGATATATAAATTATTTACTTATCTCAAGATGAAGTTGACAAGCGAGCAAATTAGTTTCTTGGTGATACAAAAATGGCTGTTGGGATCAACTGCAACTGTGGCAAGTGAGCGCATCAATCAATCAATCATTTTTATGCTCGCGGAATCGATCTTTTGCCGGAGAAGTGGCACAAAGTGTTTGCAGTTGAAGGCGAGTACTTTGACTACTAGTTCTGTCTTTGCTCGGGTGTAATAGGTGCATAAGTAAATATTTTACAAGCATTTTCCCAAAACACTCCCCAACCTATTTTCAACGAAATCTTTATTTATGATTAGGTGATGATGCTATAAACTCAGTAATGGAATAATTACGACCTTCTGGCCTCCTGAATGTAGTCAAAGCGATCATCTTAGTCAAAGTGTTGATTTTTTAGATTTATTTTTATTCATAGCACAATACCAAATATTTCAACATTGTGCTTCTTTCTAGAAATTTCGTTATCACGGCAAATGAGATCAAATTTTACGTTTCCGACGACTTTGTTAACCTACCAACTCACGGAGCTGGGAGGTGGGGCAGGGACAGGGAGATCGATCGCGTTTGATATATTGTTATTCGATTGGGGACTATTTCACGGCATCGACAGAAACTTCAGATATGAACGCAGATTCTGATACTTCGGAAAATCCTCTGCATGTGATATGCTATTCGTGCTTCTAGCGATTTACGTGAATGATGTAAATGAAGGAAAAGGCGAGTGTGAAAAAAGATTTTATTTTGGATGCTACTCGTTATGAAAGGATATTTTGCAACCAGCGACGTGGAGTTGTAGCTAGAGATTCAAACTTCCGACTCCTTATTAACACTCGTATGAAAAAGGAGTCGCTGAATTTGTCTCGCCGTCTAACATATGAGTACCCTTTGTCATTATAGAAAGAAGAATAAACTCGTCTGAAAAATGGTATTGATTTGAAACTGTAATGTCACTACAATAGTTTTCTTCATACTTTGAAATTTTTCCAGTATCTCTTCAAAAACAGCCTTTATCTTTATTTATAGTAAGCGTTTGCTTTAGAATAGTAAACATTTTAAGTTTTGATGCCTGATGCACATTTGCCTGAGCACTCATGAATGGTTGCTCAGTACTGAAGACTCACGCATCTCTTCTGGGCCAGTAACCAGAGGGCAATTCATTGGATTGTAAACGACCTTAACAGTAAGTTGATCCAAAATGGCTGAGATTACAGCATCGGGTAAGAGAGCGCTACGAGCTTGACGCTCGAGCACATCAAAGACCTGAAGAACAAATTTCTGTGCTTGTTAGAATAGTTCATCCAAAATTATCTCCATACGAAGTATATACAAAGTAAAGCGAAGGAAAATCGAAGAACAAAAATATATATCATGTAAGAACATGTGAAGCTGCTCAAGCATGAAAACACTATAGGCCTAAGTGTCAAAAATTTAGACCTGCCGCCTGAGATTTTCAAGAATTACGAAAAAATGTTATAACCTAAGATTCGAAAACTCACTGTCTGCATTACAAGACGTTGCACAAATCCTCTGGCGCTCGCCTCGCTAGTTGCAATACCAGGGAACCGAACAGCATTCACTGCGCTAGTGTAAACCATGGCAACAGGCAAAGTGGTAAATCCCGTGACGGTGAAGGTCCTACTACTCTCTACAATGGAATTTCGTAGTTTACGTAGAGAGTACTCAAATTATTAAATAAGTATGAATATAAGTATGCCGACAAATTTTCCCTTCTAATATGAATCTATGAATCTAACATCGTTCCAGCAAATGGCTTTAACTATATGCTTATTGAGTAATGAAGATGCCTTAGATGTATTTATTATTATCAAAGTTTATGAAATTTACATGCAAGACTGGAGAAATCTCTATTGTGGAAAACAGTTTCTGTTTACTACCTTGACCAGCAGGCAACACTCCACATCCCAATACTGTCGAGACTGTGATCAGCAGCGATATCACAGTGGAATTGGTCGGAAGTTTCGTCATGTTCGTAAGAATACTCATTTTCTTCTGATACAAACACAAATACTGTAGACCTAACTAAGAGCTAAATCGCAACTTTTTGCATCAGACAATTCACAATGTAATGTCAAATTTGGTACTCAGAACTTAACGTATCCTTCGCAGATTTCCTAACTTATCCGATTATAGCAAATGCGCCATTTCCGTTAATGAGGCTTTGAATTCTGTTCCACAATCTCATTCCTAATACTGAGTCGTGAAAATCCGACTCTTTCAAAATTAATATATTCGTAATAGAAAAAAATATCTGATAATCTTTATTTGAGCCACGCATGTCAGTGGTCTGTTAATGAGGGCTGACTTATAGAGCCCGATACACGTGTTTCGATCTTGCGATCTCGTCAGTCGGGCAGTTGCCCTTTCTCGTCTTTTGCTAATCTCTGTGGGTGCTCCAGTCCCCACAATAAGAGTTAGCGACGACGTACGATTTACACTCTATGTCCGGTAATAAACTCACCAAACACTAGCCACAAGCATTCGAGTGTACAACACTCTGTGTTTGGTGAGTTTTTTACCGGACATAGAGTGTAAATCGTACGTCGTCGCTAACTCTTATTGTGGGGGCTGGAGCACCCACAGAGGTTAGCAAAGGACGAGAGAGGGCAACTGCCCGACTGACGAGATCACAAGATCGAAACACGTGTATCGGGCTCTATAAGTCAGCCCTCATTAACAAACCACTGACATGCGTGGCTCAAATAAAGATTACCAGGCATACTGAAATTTGAGCTGTGGTCTTAAGAAAACACTCGAAACAAAAGAAAAAATATCGAAATTACAATTGCACCTTCAAGCGCAAATCTGTGAAAGAAGTCTCGGCCGACAAAATCGAAATATAATCTGCTGTAAACAGTTCTTTGAAAGAATTAGAAAAGAACAGAGATGGCGTTTGATAATCTTTCATTTTCTCATAGTTTCTCGCATTTTCCACGCCTACAAAATATGTCTTTTTGACGAGGAAGGCCAGCGATAGCTTATGTGAGAACTTATCAAAAAATTACGCCGAAGATTTTAAAAACGGACTTGGATTAAGAATATTTCTAAAATACGCTAATATGAGGGAGCAAAAAGGAAACCGTATCAAAAACGGTGGTAGAAAAGGCAGTGATATTATGGCAATAAATCTTGTCATGCCGCGCGGGATTCCCACACTTTATGGGACTGGGAAGTAAGCGAAATGGCTCAGTGAAGTGAAATTTTTAAGAATGCGACTGGCTCGACACTAAGCAGGAGCATCCTTACTCACCATTTCTAGCGTTCGATTTTCTCACCAAAGTAGATGTTTATGTAACGTCGCCAGTTTGTGCACTTTCTTCGAGATGTGTACAAAACAGAATTTGTTATGGCACATTAGTGAAGTGAAATTTAACTTCATTTGCGTTTCGGTCAAAACTCTCCAGTACTTCCTACCGTACCTCCAATGTTCCAAAAAGGATTATCTGTAGAAGCAGAAATGCTGCTCTCTTACAATAAGTGATCAGGTCGACTCATATCACAACTCGAGTTTCTAAACCAACATATAGCCTGCAAGAATATTTCAAGCTTGCTTGAGCTTAATACGCTTCGCTCCGTTCGTAGCCTATGCGCGTTTCGGCGATATCACCATCAACAGAACTTCCGCGGGAGCCATTCGCCTATATCATGGAGATGTGGCTACGATAAATAGTACACCGTTGGCAAGATATATCATGGTCACCAGCGTACGTAGAGTCGATGTCTTGAGGCTGGTACAAATAATATTTTATTCAATAATGTTGAGTGATGCGCAAAACTTTGAGGCAAAACAGGATTCGAACCCGAGCTTCATCTTTTCCAGGAGCGTGTGCTTGACCACTTGCAATACCAGTGCCTGTTTTGCCACCATTCTTTCTACGCTACAACGCATCAATGTCTTAGCGGCAAATAGTCATCGCTTTAGCTTGGCAAGCCTTATCGGCATCGATTCCAGTCAGGCTGACAAAATTAGATACATGTGGTCGACAAACATCTTTTGAATTCTGAAATAATGTTGCTTTGTAGAGTAGAAAGAGTGGCGGTAAAACAAGCGTTGATAGTGCAATTGGTTAAGCACGCGATCCTGGAAAGGTTGGATTGCGGGTTCGAGTCCTTGCTGACGTCAAAGTTCTGCTCATCACTCAACGTTATTTTGTAATATATTGTTTGTATTAGCCGTAAGACATCGACTGTAGGTACGCTGGTGGCCATGATATATTTTGCCGACAGTGTACTATTCATTGTCACCCCATCTCTATGATAAGTACAACAAGAGTACAGAAAAACTCTGATGATAGCGGTACCGCGGAAACACGCGTGTGCCACGAACGGGACGCAACGTATCAACTTCATAAAGGCTTGAAACGTTCTTACAGGCTATATACTGAATGTTTCGAAAACGAAGTTATAAAGAACAGTCGACTGAAAGGCTTCTGAGTCAATCAGAAAATAAACCAGTCGTTAGAATTTATTGATTTCGTGATTGCCTTTTAGTCGATATACCCACCAACAAAAAAACTACTCTCTCTGTTTAGTTAATATTTCCCCAAACTTCCACAAACTTTTCAAGCGTTCGGAAGTTTTTTTTTTTCCTAAAACGGCGTTATAGGGTAGATATTGATGCTTTCTGTTTAAAGCTATACAGCACAGAACATTGAGGCTTTATTTGGTGGTTTTAGGTATTCAAACGACCAGAATGACGCTCAATAATATTAGCGACTGTTCATTGAAGGCTAACAATTCGACGATTAAGTTAGAAGAGTTATCTTGTCCATTCGCACAATTGTATGTAATGAACCACGGCATGAGCGTGTCACTTTTGAAAACTATACACTGAGGGTTTGACATGTAAGGAGATATAATGGAAAGTATTTCACGCTCCTGTGCAAGCGACCTAACACATGCAACCAAGTTTCATCTCAATTTCAAAAAAAAAAACCAATATTGTTGGCAAATCAAACGTAATAATATCGTTTCTTCTCTTTTGCGATTGACAAACAAAAGCACCGTCACCGCTTGAAACCTTCGTCTTGTTAAAAAATTTTCATGAACATCAAACGAAGCTGAGTAAGCACTTTCGTGTAGTGCTGCTCCGTGTTGTTGCGCTTCCGCGTTGGAGGCATTCTGTGTTGTAGGAGTTAGTCATACTGATCTGGTTCAATTGCTTCACAACAATCTTCCTACACTTCGGAAACATTATTCTACTAAATCAACGAATTTCAACGATTGTTTCCATACCTGTTCGATCAAAGACCGCTGAACAAACAGAATTGGTCACTCAGTGTAGATTGCTTTCTATGAGCGGCAGGTTATATCAGAGTGACTGGAGTCCACTATGAAAGTCAACGCCGATTTTATTCACGCGACACTTCATCCTACTCGATTGTCTCAATGTGGCGGTTGTGCGGACCAAGATAAGAAAAAAAATCATAGTGGACACTCGATTAGAGCCAACGTGACGCTGGTGAAGGCGAAAGAGTTGAAATGTTGTCCATAATAAAGATCTATGGGGCTTCGTAGCCAGGCGGTTGCGATGCTTGTTGCTGCGTGCGCTGTCTATACTCCGCCTCTCCTCAACACTCTACGTTGGTCAATAACGGACGTCCTATGTAGCGCCAAAACCAGGCTATCAGCAGTATTGCAAGATTCGGATCAGCCAGTATTCTGCGACATTCGAGAAGGCGAAGAAAAAAACGAACTGAATGGAGGAAGTAGAGATATCCACACAGTGGAAAATAACATAGAAAGGGTGTGAGGGCAGATTAGTAGTGTGCTAAAATGCTAAATAAAGATCTATGATATACGACGATGAAAGATGATGGTTTCTTTTCGGATAGAAGAGTGCTATTTTTGAGCCTATCCTTTTGATGGATAAGGGCTTTTTATAAGAGTGTTAATAATCATTCGAAAGCACAAATGTCTGGCTGGCGCCATACATAGCTGGTTTTCGAAAAAGTCCTTTTGAAGCGTTGTAGAATCTAGAAAAACATTATGTTTCACATGCACCATGCGTTTTTCATTTTATCAGGCTGATATTTCTCTGGGCAAAACTCATTCTTCAGATTGCTAGTACTCTTTCGATGGCATAAATCTCGAAGAAAGCAAAAATGTATTTGATCTTCAAAGCCCTTTTGATAGTTCTATAGGAGAAAGAAAACTTTTATGTTTTACATCGTGCAGGTCAGAGCTTTCCCTTCGAACTAACATTCGAAAGCGTTAGGCTCAGTGATTCCAGAGCTGTGCTTGTTCTCTGGAAAGATCGCTTCACTGCAATGTAGCAGGGAATATAAGATCAAGATTTACGTATTCGGCGCGCTCGTCTTCTGGTTAATTTAAGGATAGGGAGTGGGGCGATCGACCAGTGGCTTAGCACGTTGAAGGGTGCAACTTGTTATTCAATTAGGAATTTTTTCATCATAATGGAGGAAATTTTAGATTAAACGATGCGCTCAAACACTACGAAAGTTTCTCTACTTACGCATATGTTTTTCGTGCTTCAAGCAAGTTATGTGCGTGATAAAAATGAAGGCGCTCCTTGGATGTGATAAAAGTATTTTTATGGATGCTGAAGCTTCAGAAAAAGCCTTTTTCAAAAACTGTGCTGCGCTAGCTCGAGTTTTAAACTTTCAAACACTCTCATGCAAAGTTCTTACCTAGTGAAAGGATAGGCTTAGAAATCGAACATGAACCTGATAATGGTATGCAAAACTTTGAAGTTTAGCCTGCGTTTCATTCTACCAGGTGATAGAAACTGCTCGGCAAGAGGGAAATTTCATTATCAGCAAATCTTCAAACTATTTCTTGTATGATTTATGGTGCCTATAGCTCATAGCAGCAGCCAACGCGAAATACCGATGAAATGGGTAATCCAAAGGCACATCCTATCCCAATTCATTGCATGAACACCAAAGCAAATCTGTGGTATAATTCAAGCATTGTTATAGGTAGGCTAGGGTTACGATAGTTGGAAATAAAAGCTCTGACACCTTTTTTATTCAAGTCTTTCATTGACGGATTTTGTGTCGTATGTCTTTGGTAGGCTCACCATCACCATAGCAAAAAGAAAGCTGTTTCACAGTGTCAAACTTTGACGGACTTCGGAAGATACAGCTGCACACAAATTGTACACGTTTTAAACTTTCCTCTGGTTCAAAAGCAGCATCCACGGCGAAGTCCTGAAGCTTGAAAGCAGAAAGCGCATTGCAACCTGCACTTGTATGTTGCACAAGATCGAATACTCTGCATCTCTGAAGCCGCACGGGAGGAAACAAGAGCTGAAAGTTTACGTGTAAATGCAATACAGCTCGCATTTTTGAAAGTTGGTACAAGCTGCACAAGATCAAAACCAGTGCGAGAACTGAGATTTGAATTTGTTGATAATGCCTCACCATAACTTTCGTAGCAGACCATAAGAATTCTCACTGGAAGCATCTTGAATTCTTCTTCTAGAGTTTGAGGTGCAATCAACAGCATTGAGAGAGCTACACCTCAAGAAGCAGATAACATGACAGTGCTTTTCGAGCTAGGGGCCATGAACAATATACATCTCAATGGTCCACATAACTTATTTCGTGCACTGAAGTTTCAAAAAGCATGGATTGAATCCTCCATCTTCGTACAGTGTCGTATTCAAAGCGAAAATAGAATATCATAGTAAAACTATACGTCGCTCAGCAAATCTGCTAAACACGGAACTGCCACAACGAGGAACTGCTTATTCAGCTCCAATCACTGTTTGTGAAAAACTCATAACAGGGCGAATATTCTACACTGCTGCGGCGGTGCTTACGATCTGTTAGTGGCAGCATAGAGAACAGAATTATTTTGTCCGGTGCAAATTTCAGCAAACATACTACTTGTGGGATGAGCTTTCCTTTCTTCGACTATGTGTAATGTCAATCGTTTAAGACGTAAGAGGATTCATTGGATTCATTACAACCCCTCACCTGCTGAGCCCTGAGTAAAGGTTTTCCAAACTGACACTTCCGATCGTCGTATAAATATGTTGCCAGATGAGCTCTTGTACTATACAATCGTCAGACTGTAGTAGTAATAAGAAAGGTCACTGGTTAGGTGAGCACTAATTCGATTGCTTTATCAGTCAAATACCACAAAATGAGGCTAACCAATTTCCGCTCTGTATCGTTTTTAGAAAATAAACAAAACAATTTGCCTTGAAGTGTTGTCAAATGCATGGAGGCCTACGTTTAGCGATAATGTTTCTGAACAGAGCAGCTCTCTTTATGCCAGGTCTATCAACTCAATTGGTGCTACTACACTGATCCGCCCTTGTAATTACGAGGATACTTACTACCTCACAAATAACAAATCAGTGTTTGTCTACCAATTATAATCTGTGATTTAGAATGGGTAAGAAGTTTTTTGAGAGAAAATACTTTGATCACAATAAACTGAATACTTTGCCGAATTTGGTAGAGCATTCCAATGCAGTAATCAATTACATTGCCTGTGAACTGAATCTTATCTCCCATGCCAAGCATTACAATTGACCACAGAACCGCAGTGAGATCAAATGGCTGCGCGTGGATTTATTTTGAAAATGTGGAGGGGTTGGGTTCCCTCAAAAGGGATTGGCTAAGACGAAAGGACTGTGCAACTGACGAGGTTTAAGGCCCAAGCACGCGTATTGCACCGTATAGGTGTTATTGTACTTTAAGCGTGGTCTCAAGAGAGCACTCAAAACGAACGGTATAATACTTCATAAATGTCAGCCAAGAGAAATCGAGTGTACAACACTGCCATTTAGTGATTTCTTTCACTTCACTGCACGTCTGATGAGTGCGTCTTCGTCTCCTTTATGTGAGGGATTTGTTCCACCCAAGACGGATTGGCTAAGACAAAAGCCACTGTGCAGCTGAAGAGACTGTCATGGGAGAAACACGCGTAGTGCCAAGTATAAGTGACCTCAAGAGACCACATGCATGGCTCAACAAATCATCAGGCATAATGCATTTTAAAAATATCCATCGATTTTGACCTGACCACATTGTTTATTTTGGGATTACTTCGAAAACCAAGGATATGAAGTGACTTGAACTGATCTGCGAAAACAGCTGTTCAGGTTTGGGACTGTTATGCAAATGGAATGAGCTCAATATACAAGTT